GTGTGTGTGTGTGTGTGTGTGTGTGAATGACAGGCAGGCACAGTGTCATATGGTTTCTACTTTAATAAGAATGCACTTTGGCACCCCTTTTATTTTCTTCACTTTAGGCTATTATTTTACAAACTAGATATAAAAGGACATAAATAAATGACATAAGTTACATGTACCTAGAGCTCCTTGACAGAAACAAAATAAAACAAACAAGAACAAAGCCAAAAAAATGATGATCATGTCAAAATAAAAGTACAAAAACGATTGAGAGAATGTTAGATCTACATGGCTGAATCATATGGCGTCGGAAGGCGTACAATGACAAACAATAACTGGCATTTGTTTTGTTTTTTTTCTCATTTGTTTTTTCAAATCTTCCGACATTTAAGTAGAGGAACAAAGTATTTTACAGTACATTCTGGTTTCCTTCTCCTTCCCAACATGTCTTGCATATTTCCAAACAGGTCCTTTTTACGATAGATAAAACCCAAAAGAAAAAAAAAACATGTTGCCAAAACAGGAAAGAGCAGTTGAGCTGTATTAAGGGCGGAGGTGTTTTCTGAATTAAATGAATTGTCACTTACGAGTTCAGAAACATTCACATAAGTATACTTTGACGAGATAAAGGGAAAAAAATGAATATACCGGTAGTCCATTGGGTTAAACCTGTAGCGTTATGATGTGTGGAAAAATAAAAAAAACTGTTTTCCCTTCTTAAACACTTTTTCCTCACTTCTCTGATCCATTGTTGTGTACAACTGCTCCCACTTCAACAGAGAAGCTCCTACTTGTCCGCTTTGACTTATCTCGGAGTCCAAACTCCAGTCTACGTTTGTTGAGTGTCTGCTCGGAGCCACCTTCACTGCCAAAAGCAGAAATTGGTTGCATTCCAGAAAGCTGTTTAATAAAACGCTGTCGAGTAGAGTTTTGCACGTCGGGAGCAAAAAAGTTGTTTTATATGAAAACAATACAACTCGTTATCTCTTCCTTCTCCACAGTGGCATGAAAACACAGTTACTGATACTTCAAATATGTTTTCAATCATGAACACACACACACACACACACACACACTCACTCATACACACATCCATGCACACACGCCATCACAGCCGCACACTCAAATGAAGCACTTGTTACTTTACATGCAAACTGAACTAAGCAATAAAAAAACAAACAAAATTTCACAAAATAAAATGAGACCTTCAAAATAAAAGCACATTATCCGCTGGAGCAGGGCTTCTCTATTATATTACATTCTTCGTATTGTCTCTTTTTATGCTGTTAAATCATTCATAGTAATTCCAGTACATCGCTGGATGGCCACAAGCAGACGGTGGCTAGTTTGTCAAGTTGACGTGTTGTGACGGAGGACGTCCCTCACGCTCGGGGATGGATTTGTCATCTCTGTGTTGGAGGGGGCTCCGAGGAGAGGAGGAGGGGAGGTTAGCAGGAGGAGGAAGACAAAGAGGAAGAGGAGGAAGAATTCTGGTTGTGGCGAGGCCGGGATCCTGTTTAAGATGGACGGCAGCAGCTGGGGAGAAAGAAAAGGAGGGGGGAGGGAAAGAGAGGCTGCATCAGTCATGGTGGTTTTGAATATAAACAATTTAAGCTTGGCATCCAGTCCTGAACAACAATATTGTACTCTCCAGCTCTAACTCGATGGAACATTCGACTCATTCGCTAAACAAAATCGAGTGCCAACGCCGGATCGTCCAGAGAGTGCGAGCGGCCGCCCTACAGGGCTACAATATGGATTTTGATGTATTAAGTCATGTGCACCACATGCTGTTGTGTGCACATGATATATGAAACATGCCCTTGACTTACTGGCACACATCAAGAGCACGACAATGCATTTAAACAGCGTGTGTATTAAATGATTTATCCATGTATAGATTCAACAGTAAGTGCAACCGCTCTGTACTTTGTTCTAATGCCAACTGAAATAAATCCTTTGCAAAAAACATTGCTCAAGCGGAAATATTGATAATAAAAACACCTCCCCATGAAAGAGGACGATAGGGATTTATATTCTATTCTTTTCCATTCTATTCAAATTATAACTATAACATGTATTATACTCCTCAGTTTTAAAATTGTAATCCAACCTCAGCATAATGAAACAAAATTCAACAGATTGCTAAAACGATTTGCCAATTAATCAGTTAGTCATTTGACAGAAATTATTTCCATGATAATATGATCTATTGCAGATGTGTCAAACATTTGCTTCTTCCATGTGAGGATTAGATGTGATGCATATATAATTACATATGTAAATACGGTTTATAATTACCTTGGGCTCTGGGAAACTTTTTAGACCAAATGATTACTTGGGAAAATAGTAAATAGGGCAGATTAATCTGAGTTATTGTTAACTGCTCAACAGTCTACTGACTCCGGAAATGACCATAAGATTACATTTGAAAGTCTCTAAACAACGGAAAATTACAACATTTACCAAAAAAAGCATTTTTTGCAGAGGTGCTAAATTAGTTCAGCTCCACAGAATTGAACAAAAAATCAAGGATTAAAAACCAGAGAGAGAACGATCTATTACCTAATATACTAACATTAATCAAAACCCCTCCGGTTACCATGGCAACATATTGGTGCGTTCACACCATGTGCACTTTCCTGAAAAGTGTTGCCCAGCTCTGGTGGTCTGTGTTTGTCTGACTGGGAGTCGGCAGCTGATTAATTCTTTTCATTAAGATACTAAGAGCAGCAGCATTGCAGACTGATCGCAGACCAGTGGCTATTGATCAGCTCTGGCTGTGTGCGGTGGCTCGATCTGCTTGTTAATTAACACAGTTTCTGGAGGGGCCAGTGATTGGGGGGGGCGGCGGGGTCTAATGATTCTTATAGTCTCTTGGTGGTGAGACATACATAATAGAAGCATGCTGCACTAATTAAGGGAGCTACACTCCAATAACTTCATTTGTTTTGTTTTAATAGGTCTTCTGTGTGCTGCGTCCACATAAGGCTAAGAAGTACAACAACCGTTGATCCTCACCTTGATGATGGATGGATTAAAGGTGAGTGCCTTTTTCCTGGCGATGATAATGCTGATGACTCTGATCGACTCTGTATCCATATTGCCTCTGTTGTATCCTTTTGTCCGAGTAAATTCCGCCAATAAATCCTTCACTCTCGCGTTCCAATTCACGACGGCAATTCAACTGGTCCAGACGGCCGTCTATCAAAAGTAGCGATGAAGCGATGGGTCCCGGTGGCAGCGCTGGGGCGGGTGCTCTGATCCAGATGCGGAGAGGGATGGAAGAATCCAAATTGAATGTTTACGTGAGGTGTGGGAGAGCAGTTTTGGGAAGACAGGGGAGTGGGAAGGTTCCTCTGGAAGATCAAACACATTCTCAGCAACGTCCTGAGGGCAACAAAACACGGTGTTCTGGGAGAAAAACAAGACCAGAACAGAGCAAAAAAGCAACAAGAAGCCCTCCCTGCAAAGCCATCTCCCCTCGGAATCCAACCCTCAACCTCTCAGAGATTTTCTGTTTATATCTGACGGGTTAGGATCCTCCATTTTGTCTGTGAGATACCAAACAGATCCAGCTGAGAGAGAGAACAATGGTGGCTGGGGCAGCCGGCGAGTCCCACAGAATCTATTCATGTACAATAAACACAGTCACAGGAAATCAAAAAAATCTGCTCTGCGGATTATTCCAGAAAGAAAGTTCCAGAAACAACACTCTGCCCGAGACGAGGAAGAAAGGTATGGTTCCCCGTCTTCCTTTCCTTCCAGACCATTAAAGGCACTCCAGATTGGCCTCTCGGAAGCACTTTTCCAGCCGCCATCCCTTCATCTATCCATAAATGCTGCAGACAGAAGTGCCCGTTCTCCAAAAAAACAAAAAAATGGGCATGGTAAAGGTCTGATTTAAAAAAAAAAAAGTGCCATTTTCACCACTTTTTTCCATCTTCATCAATGTCTTCTTTTCTTTTAGATCCAATTTAAAGTGCATGGATGAGGTAAACTATTTCTTCATAGTTTATTTGTCTCTTTTTTTATATTTCTTCTTTTTTGTTATTTATTTATATATTTTTTTCATAAGAAACGAAGTCGCTTTGCTTCCTTTTCCCTTTTTTTCTCAGCTTGAATCTGTCAGACAGGAACCATTCTGCCTTGCATCTGTTGCATTTGGGACAGCATTCCCTGGACACTGGTCAGGATCTTATTCTGGTGAGCTGCCAAGGAGATACCAATGCGAGCCATGTCCCTAAAAAAGAAAAAGGTAGAGGGGCCTTTTAGGAGCGCGGACAACAATAACAAACACGTGAAGGCCTGATACACATGATGAATTTTGCAGCCCTCCACAGGAAACAGGTCTGACACTTTAACTGCTGTATAAGGAATTTTAGTTGCCAATGCAGCAATTCTGATCTTAATCATAATAAGTGAAATATAAAAATCTAAAGACTGAGAAACATTTAACACATGTTAACTATATTTTTTTCATAAATTTCTTAAATTCTTATTTAAAGACTAAATCTCTTGTTTTGTAATAATTTTTTTCCAAAGTTGTAGTCATTAATCACGTGCTACTACAAATAATTAAAATTTTTATTCAAGGGATTAACCAGAGCTTGTTCTTCCTTTACCAGTAAAGTTTCATACCATAAATTGAAACACACAGCATACGTTCAGCCCGGCAATGACACTTCTATATATATATATATATGTGTCAGGTGAAAATGATAAAATCTTGTTATCCTACTTGATACAAAAAATAATTTTGTCATGTTTTCGTAGCTTGCACCTTCTACTTTTCCCGTCATTTCTCGTTTTCTTCTATTTATTTTTTCCCTCTCTCGTTGCCTCCCCTTCCCACTCACTCTTCTGTCATGTGGACCACAGCCTCTGGAGTGGTGTAGCCGGCAGCAGTGAAGTTGTCGATGTATCGCTCCATGCCGATGGCCTGCAGCCAGTCCTCCACTGTTCCCACGGCCGAGGACGCCTCAGGGCTCCCGGGCTCCAACAGGGTGGTTTTGGGCCTGATGTGAGTGGAGGGGAGAAAAGAATAGAGGAAAAAATTGTCGATTACTTTCATTGACTCGAGTTTGATGGTTGTCAACTCTCAGTTTGGTTCTGTGTTTGAAGCTCCTAAATCTAAGATGTGTGCAAGTGTCTGTGCAAGCAGACAATAAAAGTTATATTCTGTTTAAGTGCATTTGACTTGAAAGGTAATGATCTGCTTTCTCACACAATCTGGAACACCACTGACTCATGAAAACTACAGAAGCGGCAGCATTATGGGAATTAGTTTCCTCGCATGACACATACGAGTACGGAGAGCGACCCACAAGCTGTAAAATGCACCATGCTACATTTCTCTGTGCCTTTCCCCCTCCTCGATGGGATCCAGCTCTGTTTTGTGTCGCTGTTTTGTGAGTCCTGCCAGAGACGGAGCCAAGTCAAACACGGTTCCTCCTGGGTGTGACCCGCACAGTTAGTCAGACTATATTTTACAGAAACCACAACCTGGTCTCACTTTGGTCTAGTTTTTAGCCCTTGGCTGAGTTCCTCCTCATATTCAGATATTCATCAGCAGATTCACCTCGCTCTTTCTTTTGCACGTCTTCTGTCGAGCGTTGCGGCAGCGCCGTCGACCATGAAACATTTACACAGGGAGTGACTTTGAGTCGGTGGCGGTCTCGTCCTGCTCTGGTGACTCTCTCACACACTATCTCTCTCTTTAGTGTGCGCTCTTGTTTTTAGAAGAGGATGTTGACTTGAACTGTGAGAACAGGGTGTCAGACTCTTTCAGAAGTCGTCCCTACTCAGTAGGTGAAAAGGCTTGTGCACAGCAAGACCTCACAGCAAGACCTCTTCACACACACATTCTCCTTCCCTCTTTTGACGTAAAAACAGCATTTACGGGATTTGGTTCCTGTAATTACACTATAAGGGCCCCCCCCCCCTCTCTCACTGAGTCCCATTGGGTGAGTGTGTGAGCGTGTGCGTTCACATTTTCGCTCGCTCACACACTTGTTAAACTCAAACTGACTCCCGCTGGCCTGCTTCTAGTCTGTAAACATACGTAGGTCATTCTTAACACGTTTAGCCACTCGAGAGTAATGATGGTGGAGATGTTGGGTCATGTTTGTTTTTTTACTCTGCGTTACGTCGTAACTCTCCCCCCGCTGTTAGAGCAGCTACATTCCTCAGTGTACAGCACCATTAAAGCCAGTTTGCAGAGAAATCCATTACAGGAGGCTGTTTGTGCTGAAAAGAGCCACACGTCTCTGGTAGATAATGTTTAATGGTGAATGTAAATACCAGCGAGAGAATAGGCAAGTGTGTATGAGTGTGTGCGAGGGTGTGTGTGTGAGAGTGTGTGCGTTTAATCATTTAAAAGTTATTAGGCTGCATTTATCAACGTTGGATTTGTGAGTTTATGCAAATTACAACATGCATAAACACACACTGACATTGATTATATGAATATAATATATTATATGAATATATTTGTTGGTTGTCAGGTGGAAATTCCAAGACTTTTTAATAATTTTGTACACAGCTGAACCATCTGTTGATGGATGCCACCGTGCTACAAAACTTCTTTTAGTCTCATTATTAGTTGTGTTTCAAAAAAGATGCTGAGAATATATGATTTGAAGTTATATAATAGTTTTTGATATATATGTATCACAAATGTGAAAAAAATTTTGAAATGTGTCAAACTTACAAACTTCTCCTTAAGTAACCTTTTATTTTTCTTTATATTTAATATCTGCCATGTACAGGCCTGAGGAGCTAAACAGGAATCTAGTCATTCACTAGAAAAATGGCAGAGATTAGATGTCTTGAAAGTCTCGCAAAATAAATTGTTTATGAGGAGGAGAAAATAGTTTTTTTTTCCAGCTAATCTTCTGGAAATTATTTTGAGATCCCTCATATTTATCATTGCTTGAGGATAGCTCAACCCCCCTAAGCCCAGAACCACCGGGATAGACAGTGCTTCTACAACCTAGCATAACCTCTGTTGTGTGACTGTTTGCACGGATCCCCTCTCACCTGACTGCGGTCTCTCCCCCGGTCCTCTTCAGAGTGTTGGGGTTACGGATCAGCTTGTCCAGCATGTTGACGATCTGTCCAAACTTTGGCCGGTCGGCTCTCTCCCTCTGCCAGCAGTCCAACATGAGCTGGTGGAGTGCCACAGGGCAGTCCATGGGCGGGGGCAGCCGATAGCCCTCATCGATAGCCTTGATGACCTGAACAGTAGAGCAGTGCTGTCAGTCACTTTGTTTGTCGGGCGAGAGTCAAACTGTAATTAAACACTGCTGGCAGACTGATCACAGCTATGTTGGTTTTTTTCCCTATAATTTTATACCTTGTTCTTATTTTTTATCATCGTACTTTGGCCTCCAACACGAGACATTTGGTTATGCATAAATTACATTCTTCATCATCATTAGTGGCATTAGCTTCGTGCATTCAAAGTGTAATGAGAAAAAAGAATACACTGCTGGTGTTTTATCACCCCTGCAGGTAATTTGAATATATAACCAAGTTAAAATGATGAAGCATCTTTAAAATGTTTGACAGTAACTGGTTATTATTGTCTGAGCTCTAATATCACACACTAATTCAAGCTGTATAATGCTCATGATGGTCTGCACGCGATTACATTTCTGCAAACTTACGTCTTGGTTACTCATGTCCCAGTATGGTCGCTCGCCGTATGACATCACCTCCCACATGACGATGCCGTAGCTCCACACGTCGCTGGCCGAGGTGAACTTCCTGTAAGCGATAGCCTCTGGGGCCGTCCAACGGATGGGGATCTTCCCTCCCTGTAATTAATAGATGGGCTGATTAATGAAATCTGACAAAGTCGACAAGTAAGGTGACACAAAGACAATCCCCTGACATGTGCTTAGTTGTACACACACACACACACTCACCCTCGTGGTGTATGCAGCCTCAGGGTCGTCCTCCAGCACTCGGGACATGCCAAAATCGGACACCTTGCACACCAGGTTGCTGTTGACCAGGATGTTGCGAGCCGCGAGGTCACGGTGAACGTAGCTCATGTCTGACAGGTACTTCATACCCGACGCGATGCCACGCAGAATACCGACCAGCTGGATGACTGTGAAGCGGCCGTCGTTCTTCTGTAGAAAGGAAGACAGAGTTTAATCCTGGAATCTTATCTGCATCTTAAACACTTTGAATTGTCTTTAACATTTAAGTGCAGTAACTTCACTGATTCAGTGAAAGTCCCAAACATAATTATTAATTTATTATAATTTGACATTTTTGGTATACGTGAACATAAGTCCATTTTATTACAATACTTTACAACATTTATTAGCTGTTTATACAAATCACCAATAACTCAGAACAACAGAGAAAAATGAAATTTACTGTTATGAAGCTTGTGATAAATTCATTAACAGGTTTATTATTGTGCATTAAGCTAATTTAAACGTACACAACAACTATAGCACATAAACCAATTCACTTGTATTGCTATTGTGCAGAATCACAATGTGCATTATCTCAAGGGACTTCACAGTCAAGGTTGAGACCTAACAATATCATAGAGAAACTGTTTACACAAGTGTTGAATGCATCATAAGAAGGATTTTAGACATTTAAACACTTGTGAATGTTTAAAAGTACGACTGTGAATGATATCAAGACAACACAACTTGTCTTCCCTTTTCCTTATTCTTTCTTAGTTGCGTGTTTATTAAGTAAACCATTTACTATGTATATTTCCTGAACCAAGTATCTAAGCACGGAAATGAAACCTCTGCCAGCCTCCTTGTCAGAAAAACAGTAAGTCGATCAAGATTTGGGCGAATGTTTGTGAACAAACGCTTGTAATTTTGGAGGATGACATTACAGAGATAAGAGGAGATCAGGCAGCTACAGTCGTATCACACGCTCACAAACATGCACACGTACACAGACAGAAACGCATGACTGACCCTCAGGAATGCATCCAGCGATCCGTTTTCCATGTACTCTGTGATTATCATCACTGGCTTACCTAGAGAGAGAGGGGGAGGCAAAGAGTGAGAGAATGAAAGGCAGATGATTATGGAGGTAAACGATGCACATCACAGCCCGACACAGCAGGGGGGTTCTCGAGGGAACATGAGCAATGGTGTGTGTCTGTGTGTGTCTGTACGTGTGTGTGTGTGTGTCTGTATGTGTATGTGTGTTAGGCCATCCATCTCTGTCCCGTAGTGATTTAATTAGCTCAGAGTTGCCCCTCTTCTTTTCCTTGCACATGCAAAGGCATCTTCACTGAAACAAATTACAAGTACACACACACACAGACACACACATACGCACACCATCTTGAGTTTATGCAAATATGAACTGATGTTGGACGCATTATCCAAAGTCCCATCAGAGGCACCCACCCAGAATCCCTCTGACTCGCTGTTTATGTCAGTCACTGTCCCTTTGCCCTCTTTCTCCTCTGCCAACTTTGGATGCATCTGTCACTCTCCTGCTAGTTCCTCTTTACTGCTCTCTTTTCCCTCCCTGGCTCCTACTCTCTCTCTCTCTCTTTTCTCCCTAATCCCCGCCCCTCCTCTCTGGCCTTTTTCACCCCATCCCTCTGTCTTCCCCTCTCCGTCTCTCTTGAGGGACCGTCTGTGTCTTTATCTGAGCCGGGGCAAGCGACGGGGAGGATGGACATTCCCTGGTGGGTCTCTGTCTGTCTTTGTCTCTCAGGATGAGGATGAGGAGGGGATAGCGGGCATGAGGAGAGGAGGAGAGAGAAAAAAAAAAGAGAAAGGGAAAGGAAGGGCGGGTGAATTGTTTTTGTCCCAAAATGGCAGCAAGCTGGTGCCTAACCAGCCGTGGCAACAGCACATGCTGAAAAGTGCCGCCACCGATTCCTCCCAGGACTGCGAGGTTCTTGGCGTTCCATTTTAAGTGGCACAGTTAAGGTGGACTTAAAAGCTTATTGTGCTGATGAGAAGTGCTGACGTAAGCCTAATGCCTTGAGGGAAAGTCATGTAAAATCTCTTGGGTGCTCCAGCAAAATGCCTAAAGCAGCAGAGAGCCAGCCGGGCGGTTGGCAGCTGTGGTCTTGAAGGTGAAGTTCCTCCACTCCGCAGCAGGCCTCTCGCCGAGCCAAGAGGCCGTCAGTCACCGCGTTACCCACCACATGATTGGCACTCCATTAATTATTGGGCGCCCCGGCGATGCCCCAAAAGGAGGAAGTAGAGTTAAAGTTGGGGGAGAGAGGGGACCCTCTTTGTCGGCCATCTTTGTTCCCTTTGTTAAACGCCTCTGCCCCAGGGCTGCGGGTGATTGACAGCTCCCCAATCAAGTCTGAGGAGCGTCTGACCTGCGACCTTAAACTCTCGCCTTCCCAGCCTTGCCCTCTTCCTCCCATGCCATTTGCATGCTAATTTCTTGTTTACTGAATACACCCTGCCGCCTTTGGCAATGAACTCTGGGCAAGGGCCCCACCAGTGGGACGATTATCACCTGCCAACAAAACAGGGGAAGGGGAGAAACGCAACAGGGGCACAATATTGAGGGAACATTGGGCAAACGCTCTCTTTAGTCCTTGACGTTTGCAGCAAACAAAGATCTGGTTTTTAAAAGCAGATCTTTTCTTAATTAGCACACTCTTACTTTATGTAAATCAGATGTTTAACATATTACGTCTTCTTTTGAGCTCTAGTAGTGGTTAGGTTTTAATTATGCACCAGCATGACAGACACATTAAGTATATACAGACTTCAAGATGGTGGACTACAGCCAGCAATCCTCAGTGAGAGATTTTTGCACATTTATGTATTTTAGTGCCTATTTGGAGTTCCTCCATAATTAATAAGGCTTAATTGGCTCTGTTGGACATGCCAGCAAACTGAGGCCAGATTGAGAATTCCCTTTAACTTGATTGTAATGGAGAGGGGAGTGCAATTCAAATAATGGACTTTTAATAGATTCCACTGACACACTCAAGTGTGAAGGACTAATTTGCCCAAAACCTTGTGTCAAGCTCTCAAAAGTAAGAGTGGAGGGAGGTGGAGCGGGAGTTATCGGATGCCCTTATTGCTTTGGCTCACCATCCTTTCATGTCAGCTCCCATCATCGTTGTGTTGCTAGTCTGCTTCTCCTTCATCTCCCTCGCTCTGCCTCTTTCTTTTTCCAGTGTCCGGTCCAGCAGTTCTACCACCCTCCGCGTTCTCTCTCTGTCGTTGCCGCTGGTGTTCTCTGTCTCTCCTCTAATCCATCAGCGCCTAACCGCCTCCCTGTCTCTTTCTCGCAGCGTCTCTATTTGCACCTTCCCTGGCTGCAGCCTGTGTCCAATTTCTTTTCCTTCCTGCTGTCCATCTGTCGGCCTTTTCTCTGTCTTTCTCACTCCGTCTCTGCGAGGTCTGAGAGGTCATTCCTCACAGTGAGAGGTGTGATAGGTGATAAGCAATTCTGCCTCTGCTGCTGTTCACTTTCAGCTCCAGCTGGGCTTAGTGTGTGCAGTGTGTGTGCATCTATCTGTGTGCTTGTGTGTGTGTGT